AGTTACGCTTAATCTGCCTTTAGTTTTCCTAGTTACGATCTGCTTTTTATATATTTATTGGAAAATAAGTCCGTAAACATGCATCTTTGATTGCAGGCCACAATTTCGGAGCATTTTACGAGCACTGTCAATCTAATATGATATGGGTTCTTTATTTTGTGATTATTAATCGTAATTTCGGAATCCGTTTGTGATTTGATAGAATAACCTAGGTGGGCTTTCAATGTTTATCAAAGTGCAAAATACTCCTAGTGTATTTCAACCATACTCTGATGCAGGTTTTTGATTAAGCCTCCTCTTGGACAGCTGCATGAAAAATTTTGCTAAAATAATTACCTAACCGTCACCCATTCTCATTGATTTTCGACTGTTTTATAAATTCAGATATATTTTACAAGCTCTATAAAAAATTATTATTTATTGTTCTCGTTTGTTAGTAAATTATGTTCTCTTTAACGTGCATACTTAAAAAATGCCTGTTCGGAATTTATTTCACGCTTATGTAAGTCAACAAACCATCTTCTGTATTACTGCCCTTAATGTCCTCAGAAATTAACTACAAACTTGGGGTAGATCAGTTTACACCAAGGTCTCTATGCGAAGTTAATTTCTGAAAAATTTGAGAACCAACAATTTCTTGACTGGAATATCGACCAAATAACACATGAGATTGCTGAGGGATCAACTGGCTAGTTGAACCCCACGCAGCTATGCCATGCCATAAACTGACAGTACTCTTCATCGATTAGAGAACCTTACAATATTACTAGACTGTCTGCGAATGCCACATATGAGGTTGAGTTATTTAACACTAAAAACTGAATGATAAGTAGTACTTACGCTAATGCCATGGCTGGTCAATATTTAATTCTTATTCAAAATTCAAATGGCTGTTAGAGAAAGTAATTAACTCCGTCCCGTAAATTTTTTGCGTACTGCAAATATTCAAATATCCAAACCTTCAAACGCCTCCGCAGCCGATGCCATCTAGCTTTGCCAAAAATCGCTCTTACTTAAGTTCGAATGTAGTATGCATGCCTGTCACCTGTTATGGTTGCATTTATTTCTATGATACGTTAGTTGTCATATATTCAAGAAGACGTTTCCTCAATGAAAATGTGAATGATCCGCTTAGTATGTAACAGTTAGACCACGTGATTAACCTCAGCTTGCCCTGGTAGACCTGAGCCCTCTTTTGATTTTCGAAATCCCTCGGCGTGTTTATTTTTCCATTTTCTTTCTTATGTTGCGTTTTGAAGTTAACATCTTATTGGTTTGTCTACGTACAGTATACGATGACCTTGTTGTTTTACATTGATTTTCTCTGTCGAAATTTAAACCTCACTTGTTACCCGTGTTATGCAACGACAGGCTGCAGTCGATAAGCCGTCGCGAAGTTCGCTGGTACTAAAAAATTCTGCTTTCCATGACTGCTTTAAATTCACTCCGGGGACCTATTGCTTCAAGATCCGTTTAATCGTTGTTGAGCTTAGGCAATTTGCGCCTTCTAAAGACGTCGTTTCTATACAATGTGGTAGCTGGACTTTGATTAACAGGATACCTCGGAAAGTCAAACTGGCACACAAAGTCCCTTCACCGCAGTTCACAATATTGCTTCTCACTTGCTGGTAGAAATAAAAGGCGCTGAAAGGGGCACAATCTGGCAGATTAACTCAAATTAAATGACCCGCCTTCGGCAACAGCATCCGGATGGATCAGTAGTAAATAACGACGTTTGCAGTAGTGGAGCTGCCATTTGTCCATCGTGTCTATTCTTAATGTGCAAGCTCTGATATATGAAATTATTGCAGAATGATAAGGATATTTAGCCAATGCCAATGGCGTTTGATATAATGAAATGGAAGGTAGATACTGCGTGCATCAGCCGACGTCTAGTCTGCGGTTCTCCAGTTGAAGGTCAAAGGATTAAAAACCAGGACATGTTAAATAAACCTTCCATCCAAAAGAATTCTCATTGAAATTTCCACAGATTTATATCGGATTAAATTTCATGTTGAGCTGATGGCGCTCTCGTAGTAGCTCAGCAAACAGCAAAAGATAGCGCCCAAGTATGTCTCTTTATCGTTTCCGCATCGGACGCATATTTTGACAGGTGGAGATTCTTTTTTTAACTGCACGAAATAGCAAAAAATAGTTTTGCGATATTATATCAAACCATGCTGCCAAAATATTTCTACAAAGGTGGGCTGCTTCCTTATGCACCCGAAGATGTTGTTCATTGCGATTCCAAACTGCGATTTGGCCTAGTTATAACTGGATTACTAGCGGATATCATAAACGTTCGAGCACGTAAGTCCCACATTTGGCACACATATCTCCAATTCCAAGAACGGAAGGGCCCAAACATGGTGCCTGTTATTACAGTTTGTTGAACAGTTTAGGACCCCGTTACATGGTTTAATCAGATTAAAGCAATCAGCGGTCACAAAAAGCATTTCAGGTTTATAAGGAGATGTCTTTAGTTATTTTGCTTATCCTCAGAAAAAAAGTAAGATCAGGCTACTGTCAACACTGTTCTCTCTAACATCGCATGTTTCATGACCATAACAGCTCAAATAAAATGAGCTAAAATCCACGTTACCCTGCAGTGGCATTCCCCTTTAGTTCTCATCTATGCTTTCTGATTAAAGTATTACATAAATGCCTGCTTAAAGATTAGGCGTCGCGCTATTCATTGTGCCAGAGCCAGACGCTAAGCTAACTTGACTGCAAACACTGTGAACCGACGTCAAAATCTGGTAATCGATAAGGCCCATTGCTAAATGCCTTTCCGAAGCAACACCTAAATAGTGTGCATTCTTAAAAAGCGGTTCAGGTCAAACTGTTAAAGAGGTAACCATGCGCCAGGCCTCCGTCAATTTGCGAATTTACTGACCTCTGGACAGGTGTCTGAATGACAGGCAGAAAAGTCCTGGGGGGAAAATTGTGCCTCAGCCTCTGAACTTTAACTAGATCTGCCCGATTTCAGCAAAATGCACAGTTATTTTCTGTAGTTATCTGCCCTCTGTGCGTGCTCATTTGTATCAATTTCAAAACTGTTCCGTAGTTGTGGATGGCGGAATTAAGGAAGAGAGCGGTGGACATCTTTCCCCCTTCCGAGGTCCCAGAGCCCGGTTAATTGAGAACAATTTTCATGTCATGCCCAATTGAGGAGATTATTTTATTGTGGTATAACGTATGCAATTGTGTTCACACAAGCAAGACCTCTGAATTTCATTGGTTGGCTAGATACGACGAGAGCACTCCGCAGACTCAAATTGTCAGATGCTGATACTGTATACCTACATGTACAAAACATGGACACAAATTTGCAGCCTGCTTCCGTAGGCTGATTTCCGCTGTAGTCGACAATTATATTTACTATACCACAAGCAAGTTCTTGTAACCAAAAGGCATCCGGTTCGAACAAAATGCATTTAATTGGATTTTATGACTAATGATTGGGAGCAGTTTCACAGTGCTTCTTGGTGACTGTGGGACAGCACACGATGTGTCCGGAAATACTGCTTCATTCGGGACTACTTAGCTAAGGACAAGCACCTACACCACCAATGCTTGTCTGCTTTATTATCTGCCGTCCTGATGAAACATCTCTTCTGCAAGTGAAAATGTAAATTCAGTGTAGAATTGTAAGGGGCGTCTTATAAACTACTTTTAAAATAAAATACTTGCCATACTCTCCTGATTCCATTACGCTTGCCGTTCCCCGTGAAACGTTTTTGACAAACCTTTAGAGTGAGGATGCTTCAAATCATTATTGGGCGGCGAAGTAGACCATGATTGGATTGTTTGCGGTCCTCACTCCAAAACGGGCGCATTGTAAGAAACCTATAGACTTTTTGGACTGGAATGCAGATATAGATTCCTTATATTCAGAAGACCTTCCCAGTAACACCTAAATTGTATAACACTACTTATAGGACGTTAGTATACCGATTAGGCAACGTCGTCCAATATTTAAACGGTTGACGATCGCTGAGTTACAATTGAGCGCAATTATAATATCAATGTGAATCTTCCTGGTGTTAAAAACGTTTAATAAAGAAATAATCGAGTAAGGATTTTATCAGAGACAACGGCGAGAATCCTGAAACCTTTTGAGATTGGCGTGGCTCATATACCAGAATGCACCATCGGACAGCAAATCATGAACTCTAAAGACCCGCTAACAACAGCAGAGCAGTCGGCGGTGGTCTACAGCATATCATGCCTAAATTTCAATGCCAGGTAGATTGGCGAAACGCGCAAACACCTCGGTACAAGATTGCACGAACACTAACTTGCAATCAACCGCAAGGTCAAGCTCTCTTTGGTCTTTGGCCACATACGAGTGCTGAAACACGATTCCGCCCTAGAGAAAACAAGGGTAATTGATAGAGCCAATGAGAAGATGGCTAGACTGTTGCTCGAAAGTTGGTCCTCGACTGGCACACTCAACCGAGCTATAGATCAACATCCCGCCGACCGGGCGCTGTGTACAAAGCTCGGATCAGTCTGTGTACATATTTTCATTCCGGTGGGAGGAATATAGAAAACAACATCGCGATTTTTTAAACACACTTGGTTTCGTCGGAGGCAAACAAAGTCAAGCAAAACCATCTTCCTCACCACATATCTTATGTGTGAACTTATTTCTCTCACACATCAACCATGTCTATCAATCATGAATCAAACTAATATAGGAACCCGTTATTTGATTGTTGTAGTACTCATCTTCCTTGCGATAAGATACTCGGTAATAAAAAACTGACGCATAAACCTGACTCAATGCGTACGGGCAGAACTTTTCGATACAACTGATGGATGAATAGTCTATATTTTATTAAACACATGAACCAGGGTATGGATGGATGGATAGTCTATATTTTATTAAACACATGAACCAGGGTATGCCGCAGCTCTGTTCAACTGCGAGATGTTTATGAAGGGAATTCTCTCATACTTCGTCTCGTCAACATTTCCATTTACAATCTGTCAAAATGGACATAGGCAAAATCGAACTCGAAATAATGAACGACGAGGACAGCGCCCTGTCTGCCAACGTGCACAAGAACTTTCTGGACAAGGTAAACTTCCATTTTGCACTCTTTTAGTAAAGACGTTTGACAGTGGCACCACTGCGACCAGATTTACCCCTCCCAATGGTTAGAATTTAGGTAAGAATAAACTGTGTAACCCCAATGCAGAAAAGCCAATCAATTTTAAGTCTGATTTCAACATGCCCACGCTCAGAACCCTGTAGTGCCTCCTCCATACATGTGAGTCTACCAACTGGCCGTCCTTTGTATTAATGTATACTTCCTGTATTGTGTACAAATTTAAATTCAAGCTCTGCTGCCCTCTGCCTCGTCGTCTTACTACTCAGTGGCCCAAGTCTGCAAACGTCTCTAACCACCATGATATTTCTCAGGTGTTCTGAAAGGCAAAACCTCGGTTACCTACTCACTGTTCGAGGTCAGGAGATCAAATTGAGCCTAAGCTCCACCCACCTGGAATTCAAGGTGCATATGAACAGCCTTAAGTTAAGTAAGCGTTTGGCCACGCTAATGACTCAGCAAAACGCAACGGAAGGAGTCTGTTAATTTTGCTGCGGCAAATTAGCTGTCCAAGCAGGATCTCTCAGACAACCATCATAGAATCCACGAGAAGAATGCCGGGCTCAGCTAACTAACAGTCAGATTTAAATAATGCATCTGTTCTAACAGTGACAAAGTCGGGAGTATCGGTGGGTTTGAAAATAAAACGCCAAGCGGTCGGCCTGAGTATAACCGTGTGGACTACCAAGCCTCGGCCAACAGTCGTGAAGTCGGTCATAAACGATTCAGTTGTTAGAAGACGGTTGAAATTACAGAAAATAATCGTCGCACAAGGCTGTATGTTATCGAAAAATCCGATAGAAAACGTGCGAGATGGACTACAATAGACGCTGGGAATGCTAAGGCCAATAAGGTGACTGTTTTTTGAGCCGCTGGACACTGTCCGACCATTCCAGTTCCCGGAATAAATGTGAACGGAAATTCTTCATTGCATAATATAGTTGTCATGTTGATAAATGAGTCGGGGAATTCATTGCAAAAGGTCATTTAGTGAGCGAAAACATGGCGGTCAGATTCGGATTCCTGTTCGAACTCATCATTAGAGACAAATGCAGGTATAGGTGTTTCATACATAAGGGGCTGTAGGATCTATAATATATAGTCGCCGCTCAATCCTCATCACCACCGTTTCAATAAGGCACTTTCCACCGGTTATCTTTTCCTGACCCCGATCATGTGCTTTATCCTCGCAGCATTCACTTGCTGGAACGAAGTCTAACCACTTCTTAGTGTGCTAAAGCCTTTTGATTAACGACTTATGCTTCGCTCGTCTGGGATAAAATTGGATTGCCTGAAAGACGCTGATGGTTGTCTTTCATCCGTTTACCAGAAGTACGATTTCCCAGTAGCTAACAATCAGATCGACACGGTGGGATCCCACCTGTCCCTCGAGGACTCCTTTTTGGACTTAATCCTTGCGCCATATTTGTCGGCTATCTGGATATTTCAATTTTCAGGTAATTTGCGGCTGATGATAAAAACAGGGAGGCCAAGTGGTTGTGTCCTTATTTTTGCATCCTAAACGGTACGTCCGGGAACACAACATTTGAATGTTCCGTCTCGACTGTCCTTGTCAACGTCAACAGCCCCCCCCCAGAAACCGTCAGGCGTCTTCTCATACCTGGGCGGCAAGATCTTATTTTGTAGCCGTATATGTTAGGGGTTGGGTTAGGGTTTTGGGTTAAGGTTAGGCTTTAGGGTTTGGGACCAGGCCGAGGCTTGTCCACCGCTGGTACGGCTACGAAATAAGATCCGCCCTCAGGGGCAGTTGGAGTTGTGTACAGACCCAAAGAAACAATCTGGGGGAAAACCTGTCACGTCGGGAAATGTCAAAATCCTTTACCTCAGTCGGTGCAGCTGGAAAGAGAGCAAATGCTTTAAAAACCCAAAATTTAAAAATCAGCTGCCAAAAATTTAGCAGTAGAAGGAGGAATAATTTCAACTTCCATGCCGCTGCTCTCTCATTTTCCCATGATGACACCTTTTAGACCTACTAAATTGAGATTCTGCCAAGAGGAGACAACCGCATGGGTTCCGAGCTCCAAGAGTTTTTATTCTGCGGCCGGTAGTCGAGTAACAATCGCATGATCTGCCGGCTTCATATTCTGCTCTGGGATCATGGCTGTGCAGAGTACTTAACCACGCAGGTGAACACCACTACCGGCGACTCTGTTAACTAGTCAGTTTGTTGGGTCTTAGCCACGTTAATAATTAATAACTGTGATGAAATCACAACAATTAATCATTTGAATGTGAATGGGCAATCAACTGATGCACTAAATATTACCATAAGCGGTAAATATTAATGCTTATTACATGATAACTGCATCTCCTATGATTGCATCGCTTTTTCGGTGATTGTCACGCATTATATGACTGTGGGTCTTAAACGTCAGGTGATTTAGATTTCTTGTTCAATAAATCACATTCATTGCTTCTGAACCTCGCTTATATATACTTATAAACACAAACCCGCTTCATACGATGTGATACGCAATGATTAAAAGCGGATGCAACTTGACTGGGAAATTGTGATTGGCTTTGAATTAAGTCAACTTTTTTATGCGTAAAAGACTCTCGGCAGTTTTAACTTTATTAGCAATGGCGTTTTTATTGCTTTTGTACAGGACTGCATAACTGCTGACTGGTTATCCGCTATAATTTGACTTCCAAGATTAGGGATTGGGTACGATAGACCGATGGCGACAGGTAAACCACAGAGATGAATTGGCATCTAAAGCGTATGTGTTTACTCATTTGACCAAGTTATACTTACAACGGATGAGCTAACTCATGAAATGTCAACCGAAATTTTGAAATGCGTTTTATTTTAAAAAGATTAATTAAGTAGGGTTGCAAAACTAGCCGGCCTGCAACATAGTTCTATAATATTTCGGTTACTTCAGGATGCCGGCTTTCGAATGAATTTTTTTCTGGCTGCATGAAAAAATTGTACGCTGTAAAAAATGATTACTTATGCAGCGTACACTTTTCTCAGTGATTTTCGATGCCCCTAAAATTCCAATTATATTTCATGGAAAACATGAATACAAATATTGAAAACATGCATATAAATACTCATTCTTTTGCACATACGGTAACTATCTACGTCTTCTTTTAATCTCCTACTCGAAGGACGGATATAATTCGGTTTTCGAAAACCTTTCCAATTCCCGAACAATTTTGTACCCGCTCCACCGCTAAACTCGGATTCAGGATTTCCAAATTACAAGCAGTATATTTCCCGCGTACGCAAAACAACGCATTTCTCTACGGTAATAAAGGGGACCATATAGGGTTCTTAAAATTAAGCAGCAGATTTGATCCATATTGTTAACTTTACAAGCCATATTGGCAAATGCAGAAACATGACGATTGGTTAACGGCCATTTCATTTAGAGGTTCCACAGTTATAAACTTTATTAAAACCGAATTATGTCCCTTCTTCGAGTATAAAATTAGAAAATGTAATTTTTCACCGACTGAGCAAAGGAATAAGTATTTTTAAGTATACTTTCCATGAATTATAATTGGCATTTAGGGACATCGAAAATCAATGGGAAAAATTAATGCCACTTAAGTAGTCGTTTTTTGCAGCGTGAAGTTTTTGCACGCAGCCGGAAGGAATTTCATTCGAAAGCCGACACCTTAAGGTAACTGGATCACTACAGAATTATGCTGCAGGCTGAGTAGTTTTACAACCCTAATTAACTAAACTTTCCGAAACGTATTTTGGAATTTCGGTTTGCATTTCATGAGTCAGCCCACCTACTGTATGTCTGCACATGCTCAAGGAAATAAAATTCTGCATTTAAGATTTTAACATGGAAGAAATGCAGGCAAAAACATGTTCATGATCGGAAAGAAAAACTGTTCGAAAATTGTCATTTTGTTGGAACTCCGTTCTATAAAAGGTCATCTGAACAGCGCGATAGTACGTCCAGGTTCACAGGCCAAGCAAACGCCAACTTTATTAAGCCTAACCCATCACCACTTCGAATGCTAGTATGACCTGCCTATGCAAAATCTTTTCACTGCATATGCACATTTTTTTATGTTTTCTTGTGGGGCAGGGTATGTCGGTCGAACGACCAAGCGTCTGCCCAAATGGACGCAAGAGCATCCTCCTGCCTTTCTTAACCAAGACACAATCGTGGCTCATCTGATCGACAGATGAAGATGTCAGTCGGACCTTTCGAATCAACTAGGAGGCGCCAGCGGGACACATTATCTTTTTATGTCAAAGATTCCTAATGATTGTAGACACAGTGACCATACGGTTAGTCGACAGGTCTTTTGGTATCGGAGGGCATTCTTTTCAAACCCTTTAATCGTCCCTCCCAGGTGCTCTCCTCCTCCACCACATCACTACATTTCGTTTCAGATGCGAAAAAAATTAACAGCCCACCGATACCCTCGCTCTAGTTGCTCCCCATTTCAGGGTATGTCCAGTCAGCCCTCAACACTGTCCCTCAACGCATTTCATTAATTATCAACCCTGACGTGTAGATTTCATAGGCCTTACGGTGAATAATCAAAAAACTTGACCGTCGAGCTACTTTCAATCCCCGGAGTTAACTTGCGTTAGGCAGCGAAAACAGGTTGTTTCAATGCCCGTGAACCATCTCAATCCTCACCTCCTCCCAGCCCACACATGACTTACAAATGACTCATGAAATGTACACCGAAATTCCGTGATGCGTTTTCGTTTCAAAAATATTAATTAAATCGGGTTGTCAAACTAATCATCCTGCAACATAAATCTATACTATTTCAAATACGACAGAATTCCGGCTTTCGAATGAACTCCCTTCCGGCTGCTTGTAAAATCTACACTCTGTAAAAAAACGACTACTGTAGTAGCATAAATGATTCTCATTGATTTTCGATGTTTCTAAAAATCCAATTATATTTCATGGAAAACATACACAAAAATATTTATCCTTTTGCTCATTTGGTGGAAAATTTTGTTTTTTCTTTAATTTTATGCTCAAAGAGGGAGATAATGCGGCTTTAAAAACATTTCTATTTGTGGGACTTTTAAATATCGTGAAATTGCTGTTCATAAATCGTCATGTCTCTGCATTTAGCAATGTGGCTTGTAAAGGTAACAATATGGATCAAATCCACTGCTTAATTTTATGAACCCTATAGGGTCCCCCTTTATTACCGTAGAGAACGTTGCCGTTTTTCGTACGCGGAAAATATGCGGCTTGTAGTTTGGAAAGTCTAAATCCAAGTGTAACAGTAGAGCTGGTTAAAAGTTATTCGGATAGTGGAAAAGTTTTTGAAAACCAACGTATGTCCTCTCGTTGAGTATAAAATTAAAAAACGACGTAATTTTCTACCGAATGAGCAAAAGAATTAATATTTTTGTATCTTATTTCCATGAAATATAATTGGATTTTTAGAGGCATCGAAAATCAATGAGAAAAGTTTATGCTACTCAAGTAGTCATTTTTTACAGTGTATTTCTTGAATTCAGCCGGAAGAAAGTTCATTCGAAAGCCGGCATCCTGAAATATTATAGAATTATTTTGCAGGCTGACTAGTCTTAATTAATCTTTTTGGAACGAAAACGCATTTCGGAATTTCGGTTGACATTTCAAGAGCTAGCCCACCTACTGTGCATGCGGCATGCGGGAGGTAGACCGATGACAAATGCGTTTCATCTTATGGCCACCTCAGGGAAGTGCATATCATTAGCGATCATTATCATTTGTGGTTAGCTGAAGAGTGGGTTGTAGACCGCGGCAGTAGTATAGGTTAAGAAACGTGCAAACCGCTAACATGGACTATCTCTTTTGGGGAGCGGACGAACAGCTGGCGTTTGTCAGTTTAAATCTTGAGTGAACCGTTACAGAACAGAAGTTTCAAAGAAGGCCTTACATTATACACGGGCCTCTGTGTGAAGCGCTAACTGTGGACAGTGTTTTCGCCTACAGAGGACTAAATCTGGCCGGGGTACACGGTGTCCAAAACAGGTACATTCGCTCTTATTTCAGTCGTTCTTTAGTGAATGGCCATTAAATGGTTCGTGTTATGATACGTTGCAAATGCATCAATTCTTTGCAAGATAAACCTCGTTAAGTGGCTGGTTGTGTTTTTTGTCCTTAATGTTAGGTGTGCGGACGATACGTCCACTTGAGAACTTGGCTTAGAATGCTGGTCGGAAGGGACTTATGGAAGTACCGCTCCTCGCAGGAAGTTCTGTTTAGGCTGACACGTTGATGTAATACTTGCCTCACAAAATCCAGCAGAATGTCGAAATACACTGTACTTTCTATCATACCTTTACACTATTAGTCATTGTCATTTGAGGGAGAAAAGTCGGTGAGTCAGGCCGCGATGCCTAGATAGAACGTTCTTTTGTGATTTCATCGAAATAATTACGAAGCCCAGGAAGGTCTGTGTAACATGAATTCTGCCGGCTAAGTAATCGGTTTCAACGAAATACTTTAGGTTCGAATCTACCTATCTCGCTGTTACTATGGGTCCCACACGCTACTAACCGCTTACTTTGATTAAGGAATTAAACATGTTTTATAATCATGAAATAATTCATAGTAGAACTGGCCTACCACTTACTTAAGAGATTACATATCCGTTCTGAACAGGCGTTAAAAAATTCATATTTTCAGAAAAATGCATGAGGCCACCGGGCAAGGAGTGCCTGCATTCATACAGGAACAAATCACCATAGACTGAATATGAGAGAAGACGATAGGCATAGAGTCATTCAATATTTGTAGGATAACTTCTTTGCGCAGCATAGCACTTTAATTACCGGCTTACTATCGTAGCAACTTGCAGTCCACTCCGTACCCTCCTGACAGCTGTCATTGTTTACACTTTGCCCTTGCTATTGCCGTCGCAGAGTTAAGAGCTCATTTGTCGTTAAAGCTAAGCATAGCTCGTTTCGCCTATGTTGGCATATCCATCAAATAAAACGCACTTTATTTGACGCGGGGACCAACGACAGCATTTTTTAAGAAGCGTTCCGCATGTACACCACGGTGTAGGTTTTTGCCTTCTTCTAACGTGCATCACAGCTCGAGTTACGCAATCAACCGCTCCGAATGTTGGGCTACACTTGCTACGTCAACTTCATCCTGACGTTCAACTGACTTTATCATGACAAACTGGCATTCATTTTCTTCTTTCTTTCTCCCTTTTTTCTGCTTCAACATCATTTCTTCATTATTAACGTCATGCAGAACCGGCACAGTCTGGTTTGTGAGTCTGGCATCACCCTGCAACAGGTATTCTCATGACACGAGCCCTGAAAATTTAATTATGACAACCTGTCCTGGACTGCTCCGACCTCCCTAGTTGTTACGTGTTATTCTCTTAAAAGTTCGCCTTTTTTGAATTTGCGCCTGTCGAATCGGTAACAGCTTGCGTTCTGCCCTGTCATTTTTCACTCAATATATTCGAGCCGAGACAGTGCATTTGGCGATCAACTGCAAACTGAGGAAAGAAAGTAAAGGTTTGATTTATCCTTTCACTTATGTCCCAATCACGTTCACTACTTCTTCTATTGCACTGAATGGTCGCTGATATTGCGACCACAAGAATACAAATTATCTCCCGTTTCAAAGAATTTCTTAAGTATAAACTTTTCAAAACCAAATTATACCCTTCCTTCATGCATAAAATTCAAAGGTGTAATTTTCTACTAAATGAGTACACGGATGAATACTTTTATTCATGTCTCCCATGAGCTATATTTGAATTCACAAGGGTATTGAAGATCAGCGAGAGAAGCTTTTACTACTTAAGTAGCCATTTTTACGGAATGTATTTTTGCAGCTGGAAGGAAAGAAGTTCATTAAAAAGCCAGCGTCTCGACGTAAATGGAATATCTTAAGATTGTGCCGCATTTTGATTAATTTTGAAGCCCTACTTCAGTAATCTTTTCCAGTCAAAAACGCATTTCGGAATTTTGGCTATCATTTCATGAGTTAGCACATCTACTGTACGTATTCATTCGCATCGAACCCATGCATCGTTTAACTTCTTTGGTCTATGCAGATGCTGATACAATGTGATATAGCATCAGTTATTGATCACATGGAATGATAGTGGAAGTTCTGGAATGCGTTTTCGATTGGGAAGGAGTACACAGGTGGGGTTGTGATATTATTTTTCATACATTATAGTACCTTAAAATTTCGGACTCGCCAGGCTATACTAGCTCATAGGCAGAGACCGCGCTTTCACATTCTGTCAGGCATCACTATTACTGACGTATATAATCTGAACATTACACCTGGCCTGGAGGGAGTGGAATTCGCAGTGCGAATGTACACAAATAAAAAGCGCTTTCATCAGTCGGTGATCTTGTTCTATTTTGTCCGTTATTTCCTGGTATGCGTGAAATTCACAAATAACTCGCCTAGTCTTGAACGGTTTCATATTTTCTGAGTAGGACCCGTAAACGATCCGAAACTCATAATTGTCGGGCAATGCAGCGCCATGCAGTGTCATTCGATTTCCCCATCACGATCTCTGCAAACACACTGATTGGGGTTCATTCATTTTTCCAAAGCTGGTTAAGCTCGAGGAATCGTTCCCGCCTCTACGTTTATTCAAGGAACATTTATGTTGGTCGTAATATCGCCCATTCCATTTTTTGCTTGCCCACCACGCCGAGACACATTAAGTGAGTCATTCAAAATGGAAGTCGATATATTTGCCGAAAATCGACGAAAATGATTTAATGTGTTTAGAATGCCTCCAGTAAAACAAAAAACTGGTGTATTGGACTCTTGAAACATGTTGGTATGAATTACTATGGTGTAATCGTTTCAGACGACTGTGAGTCGCAGAAAAGAATTAAACATTTTTAATATGCACATTTGCGTGGTCCATTGTTAGTATCAATAAATTCTGTTGTGTGCGCTGGTTTTGAATTCTTACTGGGAATAAATTGTTTTAAGTACAGACATGAATTTTGACTGCCTTAATCTGCCTGATTTGCAATTTATTTCCGCACATGAATTAATTAAGTGGAAGGAAGGCTGATTAACTCAGCGCATTGAAGCTACCATGATGCGCTTGAAGGGCTTTTGACTGGCGATATAACCAGGACCACGCCGTCGGTCAAATGTATGTTTATGGACGGAGCGTCAGGCTGCAATTGCTCCCTCGTAATGCGGCCTTTACTGTACTGCCATTCCGTGGGATCTGAATCTGATGAGGCCGCACGCCTAGGGGGCGGCCCCAACCACGCAAGTTTCCCGCGTCCAATCCCATCTCCGGTCTTCCTGACTGTTCGCTTACACCGTACCCAGGTTGGGGAGGAGGAGAGAGTACGGTAGATGTTGTGCAAGTCTACTAGCATTATAAAATTAGTTAAGAAGATGAAGATGCGATCACTGGAACAAGAAATTTATTTGCCTGACGTTTTAGAATCTCACTCGAATCAATCGTCACAGACACTCGCAGATAAAGATGATGGTGGCACCAGGAGTGCAGTATATATAGCCCGTAGCTGCCGTGGGACCGTATGCGCACTACAATTAGCTGTTCTCGCAATAACCGCTGGGGTCATAATTGATGCGGTGGTGGCTTGTCGGTCCGAGTCCGAGTCGTTAATTGCCGCGATTTCGTCATCCGTGCTGGACGCTGGTGTGACGATCGCTCGGCAAACTGGCTCACTGTCACCGTGATAATTGCTCGCCCGCGCCCTCCCCACGTGACTGATTCTCCTGCCCAGGGGAAATCGCAGTACGCTATAGGGTACCGGGAGGACATTGTCCTTGTTGATGGATTGCGGGCCTGTGAACCATGACTCGAGCAGCTCGCGGCTCACGCGGTTGTCACCCCTTGCGAGGATTTCGGCCTCTTGAAATTTGAAAATATGGTCGGGTCCCGTCGAGTGTGCCGCCACCTGAGAGTTAGCGTCTCCCCGCCTCACTGCTGCTGCGTGCTCGGCAATTCGCGTACGGAGTAATCTCCCAGTTTCTCCGACATAACTGCTTTGTCCGCAACTACACCAGATACGGTAAACGACTCCAGACGGTTCCTACCGTGGCAGCGGGTCTTTTGGCCTCATGACTTGGCGCTTAATGGTTGCTTGCGGCCTGTGTGCAATTCTAACTCCAAGTGGAGTGAGAAGACGACTGACGGCTTCCGAGACGCACTTCACGTACGGAAGAGCCTGCCAAAATTTGGGGCCGGTTGGATTTGGTCCTGGTGTCCTTTTCGTATGCACTGGTTGACAAAGTTGCGTGGGTAACCATTGTCTCTCATTACTCGTCGAAGATATTGTAATTCAGCAACCTTGTCTTCCATTTCACTGCAGTGCGTCTCAACGCGCCGGTATAGCGCCCTTACGCAACTGCGTTTGTGACTGATCGGGTGGTTGCTATTGAAGATCAGTATATGCGTCGTAGTTGTCGCTTTCCTGAACACTTTGCTTTTTAGGCAACCACAATCTTTGCGGGAGACGAGGACATCCAGGAAGGCCAGCTGGTTGTCTTCCTCCTCCTCCATCGCGAATTGAATGTTCGGGAAGACGCCGTTGAGTTGTTCTTTGAGCGTCAGCACCTGATCCCGTTCAATGACGATGAAGGTGTCATCCACATACCGAGCCCAAAATTTCGGTCTGTGGTGTCGGAAAACCAGCGACTCCAGCCGTTGTAGGACCGCCTAGGCTATGAGTCCCGAAATCGGCGAACCCATTGGCGTTCCCTTCACCTGCTCGTAGATTGTTCCGTCGAACGTAAACTACGTCTTGAGACTGAACTTCAGAAGCTGGATGATTTGGACGTGTCTGAGGCGATGCTCCGTTTAGTCGTATTTCTCTCTTAGGATTAGTTCGATTGTCTCGACTGCCAGGTTCTGTGGCATAGAAGTAAAAAGGGCCATTTCACGGTATTTAAAAGTCCGACAATTAGAAACGTTTTAAAACCGAATTATGTCACTCTTACCGGAGGAGTAAAAATGAATCTTTAACATATGTTTTTCATGAATATAATTGGACTTTCGGGCATCGAAAATCAATGATAACAATTCATGCTACGTATGTAGTCGTTTTTTACAGTATGTATTTTTTGCATGCAGCCGGAAGGAAATTCTTTCGAAAGCCGGCATCCTGAGGTAACTGAACTATTTTAGAATTATGTTGCAGACTGACAAGTTTTACAACCCTACTTAATTAAGCTTTTCGAAACGAAAACGCATTTCGAAATTTCGGTGTACATTTCATGAGTTAGCCTACCTACTGTAGGTTTCACAAAAGGGCCTATAAAGAAATAATTTCACTTTATGAGGTCGCATCGCGAGACCTATTGATTAATTAAATTACAAGATGGCACAGAGACTAATATTTATGACCGAAACTTTATGATATTTTGCAATGCGTAACCGAGGGTGTTGGGCTTGGATCATGCAACTAAATAGGGGCTTTTTGTTCGGTAGCCTAAAGACAGATTTGTCAACATCTTTCCGTTTCGCGTACTTTGATCTGCATCATAATAAATCCTTTCTTTTTGCTAACTTCGTTTTTTTGTATTTGAACCTCTCATTTTCCCGTCATATTCAATCAATCAATGAGAATTACTAGGCACATTTGTTATAGTTGAGGTTGGCTTTTCTATCACAGTCCAAATTCCTCCAGCTGTTGGTTTAGAAATCTCTGTGTAATGCTTTAATGCTCTTGCTTCTGGCATGTTGTGACCCATCCATCGCATATTATTATTTTGTTTTGTGTATATTGTTATTATTTACAATATTACGGCAATATTTTACGGCAGACAGTCATTTTGCTTGACGAATTTGCAATAATTCATATCAGTCCCCATTTTTTCGAACTAACGGCCGATCGCTCATTCCATCCAACACGTCCTATGCTTCATTATATTTGCTTGCGTAGTATATCAGCGCTCATAAAGCACTCGCTGACGTGTGATGAGACTGATACTCAGAGACCATGATTAGGTGTGTCACCACAGTGAGCGCGTCAGGTTGTTTTAGAATCCTTTCATTTTACACGGACACCTTTTCATTTGCATCCAGCTTCTGCTGATCAGTGGACGATTTTTTTAAAAACAATGTAAATACTGCTTTAACAATAACGCTTATTAGTGTCACATCCCTGTAGGAAAAGTTTATCGGGGTCTGGCAACTCCCTCTGAATAATGGTTATTATGTCTGTTTCAAACGTTTATTTAGCAGATCACTAGTGGTCCCGGAATTTCTGTTTGGGAATGAGAACGTGAAACTCTGAGTGTATCGGGATGGCTTCCGTTTAGCTCAAGGAGGTGTGGATCTTTTGATCCAAACTAAACGCAAATGTTTGGAACTCCCGCTGCATATTCGCATTTGGAGATCATGTGAGTCGTTTGACTGAAATCCTCCAAATACGCATCAGGGCAGTCGGGAGGTAAGAGTTACGCCCACGTTATTTGTCTATGCTGACAGAGGCGACATTGCATGAGTCATTCTGACACCTCCTCTACATTTATAAATGTAGGGAGGTTCAGAAGCAGAGCAATCAGTCTTCAGCTACCAGCAAGTATGTTTTAGTCTGTGCTTGCTTTACTGTCAGCCTACGGGACGTACTCTCATTACTGTGTTTTAGTGTCAATAACTTTGCCGACTTTTCTTATCGCATTCATCGCCTCGACAATGGGTAGGTTTATTATTAAGTTGATGCCTACCTGCAAAAAATGTCGAACTTGACTACGTTCGTAGTAAGCTTGAAAGTATTTGTGATTTTTTGGACTTTATTGCCGGTGTGGTTACCTCTTTTGACAGACGACTTTGGATGGCGCATTCGTGTGCGGCCAAATTCGGACTTTGCATTCCTGACTGCACTTTCGGGAAAACCAACGGTGAGTTATCAGTTGTGTCAAGGGTATGATCGAATGTGTTTCTTAATATAATTCGGACTATTTTTTCTATATAAGTCATTTACAATTGACAACGCGTCTGTCCCAGAAGGCTCCTCATCCAATCCCTGCAAATTGCCGAATTCGTGTTGGCAATTACTGAATGGTGAGATTTATTTCGCTGAAGGTGCTTTTTAAGTGGGAAGTAACTCCAATTCTGTTTCTTGTATCACTGTCACAAGGCAAATTCACGGATTGTATTTTCACATTTAGTCCATTTTTGTTGCCGCAATATATATCGAGGCGTTAATTTGCCTTTAAGATAGACAATATGCAATCCTTGAGTCAGGTGCAGTATCCGGGACTGGATCCATTCTCGTAAATCCGGTCGACGGCAGCAAGTCCGGTTCTAAGCTAATCGTCAGGGACACAAACGGGACGGCAATGGGTACATCTCTTTTTTTCAACACAAAGTTATTCGATTTCCATGTATGGTGTTTTCATATTGACTTTGAAAATGAAAATTACCGGTCCAATTCGCAGCAAAATATATTAAATGTAAGGATATATGTATAAAGTGAAGTTAATAAAGCGGGCGACTTTATTGCTCAGTGAAGGTGAACGCATCCCTTTCGACAGTCATCTGCTTTTCTTACCTTTGACTCGTTGTCTGTACTCTAGCGCAGACTTTGTAATAAAAGCCATTATGGCCTTCCTTGAAAATGCAATTAGCATCCCTGGCTTGTGGATCACAAGCACAGCAAGGCAGACACTGTCAGGAAGGATCAAAAAAGTAATTGCGTTGCAAGGCAAAAAACGCGAAATCTGTTAGAAGTTAGAATTATACTATAAGTGAATTTTCTACTGACGCAAAGAAATCAATCAAAACTGTAAAACCAATTTCTACCTACTTGTCTGTATTGTTGACAAATGCTACTTCTTGCGTCTTAAAGTAGACACATCCCAGCCTATAGAAAACGAAATTCACGCTAGAAATCAGGGTTACGCATTTTTTGGAAAAGTATAATGATTCAAGTGAATGATCCATTTGCATAATAATATCGAATTTCCACGTAGGTCCGAAATTGCAAAATAACGCTGGATCAGTCGAAGTGCTTGAAATGGACCCCAACATGAACACCGTCGCATACATATTATACAGTGAAAACGTTAAGGTAAGGCATGTGATTTTACTTAGTTTGTGAATATCACCTAATGACGCTCTGAAAAACTCTCTTGGTTTCTGTGACATTTAAATACGCGTACAATTGATTGAGCTTTTGTTTTGGTAATTTTAGAGTACAACAGTCAATGGGAACATAGTGTTCACAAATGAGGCCGGTGGTCATTCCAAGAAACGGCAGTTAACAGTTCCCTACAGTAAGTCAGAATTTTAATCGGATGTTTGTGAGAGCGGTTAAGCAAAAGTTAGTCCCGGTTATATGCTTTGAAAATTTGTCGAAATAATAAACTGGCGTAGTGATAGACTAAGGATTTCAACTTAAAAAATATATTTGATAATTCCATTAATTAACTGTTTTCTACTCCATAATATCAATAGTTGACGCGGCTTTCAAGGGCAAGGATGCTCTTTTTCTAACGGGGCACATCGGCAATGAAAGTCTGAACTATGAGATAAAACTGTCCACAAACGATACTGCCACGTTTACTGTCGTCCCTAGTGAGAACTTTGCTATATTTACGACGATTCGTGTTTCTTTCAACAGCGCCTCCACCGTGATTTACAGTAAAAGTTTGATTCTTATATCCTCACTGATTTTAATGAAAATAAACGTTTGAAAGGTGAAATGTTCACCGATTCTTTGGCATTTGTTCATTTTTAAAAAATTGTTCATTAAAAACTATACAAAAACATCTCTGTTTTGACTGTGAAGGGGGGGTGATGACAAATAACGCAGACTATAAAAAAATGCTCGCTTAACTTCCCCTGAGTACTTTGCCGTGGGCGGTGAAAAGAGCGGTGAAAAAATTGAAAAAAGATGTTTTAAAAAAATGCACGCCCACGATATGACGTAGAGCAGCCGAGAGTCTTTCTATTAACTAGGCATGAATTAAACTAGGCTTTCGGGTATAATATAAAAGCAAGTAAGCAATTTGCTTTTATTTGCTAGAGTAAAGCTTATGCCCTCAGTAGGATAGACACATCTTCCAAATAAGTTCAAGCACTAATAAGTAGTAATGACAACTGGTATTAGAAGAATAACCACTATGCCAATTTACGCTTACACCTCTGTCGCGTACACCATGTAATGTAATAACAGGGTAGATGGGAGCTTTATCGGCCGCGACAACAAATGGTGTACTTACGAGAGCCCAGTAACAAGTAGAAATGGAGCAAACACGTGAATTTTGGCAGTCCTTACTTGCGGATATGTCTTTCATGCCTGACCAAGTCCGGCACGTAGCTTTGTCCAAAGAATATATTTCGGTGGCATGCTTTTAAGCACGTAACCGCGGGGATTTCGACCTAATGACGATTCTTTTTAAATGAACCTCTCCCAGCTCTACCCCAGCTGAAGGTTGGCCTTTGGACAGATTTAAAAAGTAATTATATCCGTGAATTGCATAGTGTATTTTCGTACAAATTCAGAATTATTCCATTTAGCAGGTAGTTTAATTTCAAAACAGGCGCTTTCCTAGTGTGAAGAATGTAAGTGGGAATTGTATATCTCGTTAATTCCAAAACTCATTTTGGTCAAATTGCAGTAAAGAGACCCTTTAAATTTTCAAGCCCTCACGCTAATGCGACGGTTTTTCGCTGCAATATTATCTGAATAATCCGGCAGACACCATTTAAAAAGACATTCTTCCAACACCTATGAACGCTGATTGCGTTATACTAACAGTAAACTATTTTCGTGAGTGTCACGTAAGTTAATGAACTTTGTTTAAGACACAACCGCGGGTCCTAGTTCACTGTTACAAATTCGCCGAGAATGTTCACACAACTAGTTGGGTAGAGTAGACGTAAATTATCTTCCGCCTCCCAACAATTCAGTCTCACACACTCTGTCGCACCTACGCAACAATGCAATCTTTTCGCCCAAACTACCCATCAGTCATCGTTTCACGCACTGCGGGCTGGCTTTTTGAAAATAATCAGGCAAAAATTCCCATCTTCCCACACCTAGGGCGTACTGTTATAGAGGTGTTGCTTGAGTATCAACCGATTCGAGTTCAGACTTATAGTGTGCAGCCATTGGTTGGGATATCAGTGGCTGATGACTTCGTTTAAGTCATAAATAGCTGGTATTGTTTACTAGTCTACATGTTACTGCTTGTGTGAACTATAAACTCACAGTTCTCATGAAAATGGGCAGTCATCCCACGCGTAATTTAGTATTTTGCAAATCATTTACATTCTCGTCATCTATTAATTTGTATCCTGATTAGGTGAATAGAGAAAATTGTGCCGAAAACCTTGAAGTGATACTTTTACAATAAAGCGTGTTTCTCGTTCTCTAGCTCCCATTTGAGAAAGACTCTCATGTTCCCTACATTCGCCTGATCTTGACCTGCATTCAGTTAATTCAAATATGGGCTGAACCGACAAGCAACGTTTAAAAACCTGTGAGTGGTGGAAAAAATCTGGAAAACAAGAACCACAGGAAATTAAAAATTTTCTGATAGCCTGGATAATGGCGTGTAGGCTGGAGGAACTTGACACATTTTTTTAATAAATTGCACACGTGATGTAGATTTGCTGGAAGGCGTCACAGCTTCAAAAAATAAGAAATACACGGATGAGTCAATGCCCTTGAAGTAACTGCAAACAGTCGATAATATTTTTGCTTGTGATGCTGGAATTTGAATGAATGGTGTTATGTCTGAAATATTCGGGTGAAAAATCTCTCGTGGAATCAACATTTCACGAAATACCGATATGCCAACATGGTACGCCGGGAAAATTTCATGCGTTAATAGGATGTGTTGTGACTGTTCTGTTAATATCTAATTTTAGAAGTAAATGTCGGGTTGCGTTTGACTGTGAAAAACCATATCAATTGCTAACATTTAATGCGATACTTCTGTCATCCTCACTTCCTTATATGCCTGTTCCACTCTCAATTATTGATGAACGCAAAATTCACCCGTGATTCACATAATACGGCGGTTCCAGTGCAGTATACCGAACAGAGTAATACTGCTGAAAGAAACCCGAGCGTAATTGCGGTCTGAATATAATCATCTTAATAGTAGCAATTTTGCAAGCTCATCATTTTTCCGCTCGAATCTCAATTTATTATACTTAATTTGCTTCTAACGATTTCATTGAAGGAAACTGGTTGGGTTTCGCACTTTTGGAATTTTGTGCGGAGCAAATCATTCATGATCTAACGCACTTCTACTTAACGGGCATAGGTGTCTGCATTCAGCCGCATCTACTTTTCTAGGATTCGTTTTTACTTAAATTTGGTTTTGGTCAATGCCGCGTACATTTACTCCTACATAAATTAGGTGATCCTTTCTCTTAACATATTAGTGTTAACACATACCGGGATATAGTCCAAAAAATCACTAATATGGAGTTTTGGATAATTCACGAATATTTGACACAGTAATTCAATTCAACAGTGCAATTCAGACGAATGGAAAAGAATATGCGCATCCCAGGTTCTTGTTTAAAACAAGACGAAGGCAAGATCACTGGGACGGTAGATTTATTGCAATTCAACTACGGACACAGAGATAGCAGTCAGCACCTAACGACTATGATGGCTGCACTAAAAATCCTCTGGGCCAACATGATTCATTTCCAAGTCAAGAGGACAAACAGTGAACGAAACGAGGCAACGACCCTCTTATTGCAGCATAATATGTAAGTGTATCCATTAATTAGCCCAGTTGTCATTCATGGCTCTCCAATTATACATCTGTCTCATCCTCTTCGGGTCTTTTGTCTTCTGTTAATTCTAAAGTGGCTTATTCCTGGGGTACTTCGTCTGTAGAAAGTTAAAATTTCAAAATAAAATTCCTTCGTATCCGATGGTTTTGAATCAATGAAAGGAAACCCTTGAGAGTTTTGCGCTGGAGCCAAGTGTTCGGTATTGTCTAATTCTGAGCCACTTGTGTTTTGCCGGTCATTCACTTGGCGCCTAGATTCTGCTTAAAAGGATCATTAAAAAATGCTTGATCCTCCGTCTTGCTGCTACAACCTTAAGGATGTGCAAATTGTGAACAAGCGATTGTCCAAATAAGGCAGCTATGATTCCTGCATACTGGATATTTGTGCTGCATCAGACAATAGAGTGTTAATCTGTGGAAGCAGTGCGATTGACTTTCCTTTGTTGTAGACGCTTAAGTGTGCAAGACCTGCTACAATCTGATCACAGCCCCCATCCTTCCACTGATGAATAGGAAATTACTAGTGACAGAAGAAGAAGAAATGTAGTCATTTATGACTGCGTCCACAACTTCAGTCAACTTAAAAATTAAATGTACTTCTGAATAACCCGTATATATGTTCTCTGGAAAGTAATCCCCGTGATGGATTTATTCATCCAGAGAATAAACTGTGTTTCAAATATACTTTGTACTTGCACAACTTTCGCCGTGTATGTGACCGTTAGAATGGCTATTGCCTGCATTCCTGTCGCTATACAGTGAGTGACTGATCCCATTATATGTTGGCCGAAATTTTGAATCGCGTTGTCGATTAGGAAGGATTAGATAGGCCCGGCTGTAAAACTGACTATCTTGCGGCATAATCCTATAATGCTGCAGACTCAGCAGTATGTCAGTTTTTGAATGCATTGTTTTTCAATCTCCTGTAACAGCCGTATTTAATACAAAATGACTACTAAATTTGCATGCATTTTTCTCATTAATTTTCGATGGTTTTATAAATTCAAATATATTTTATAGAAATAACGACCAAAAATATGCCTTATTTCAATCGTTTGATGTACAACCACGTCATCTTTATATTTAGTGCTTGGAGAAGGACTATAATATGGTTTCAAATAAGTTTCCTAATTCCCGAATAATTTGGGGTCTGATCAGTCGCAGCATTAGCCCTTACTGATTTTGATCTACAAGATGCATGCGTTCCGCGTGAAGGAAATCACATATTCTTCTATGCCTTTAAAAACATACCATATAGAGTCTTTCAAAATTTGCAGTGGATGCGGACCATGTTGTACATTTCATGAGGAGCAATGGTAAACGGGCAGGTAGGATGCTGCATGAATAGACATCGAACGGTCTTAAAAATCTCATAATTACAAACTTTTGAAGACCTAATTATACTCCTTCTTCAAGCATAAAATATAAAGATGATAGGATTCTCTATCAAACGATTGAAAAAGACATATTCTTTCGTGTTTTCTATTAAATATATTTGAATTTATAAGACCATCGAAAATCAGTGAGAAGAATGCATGCGAATTTAGTAGTCATTTCGTACCAAGTACGGCTATTACAGAAAATTACAAAGCAGTGTTTTCAAAAGCTAACATCCTGCCGAGTCTGCAGCATTGTAGGATTATGCGCAAGCTAATCAGTATCACGACCGCGCCTAAGTAATTCTTCCTAATCGAAAACGCAATTCAGAATTTCGGCCAAAATATCATGAGATCGGTCACTCACTATATATATGTATATATATGGACAGTATTTTATTACCGTTAAAGACTAGGGAGACTGAAATGGCTATTTCTGGCTTATTAGCCGTCGTTAGCCAGTCATACCCAACCCCGAAGTGTGGAACACCTGTGGCTCATACTCGCGACCTGTTAGAAAGAAGTCCAACGCCTCTAACCACTGGGCCACGGGCCCGTTGTCCTGACGGTTTCAATCGGAAATATGCGATGGTAGAGGGGCGCTCATCGATCGTTCTTGCGGAGCTCACTTATTCCGTTGTGCCCTACGGGGTTGGGTATGACTAGCTGACGACGGCTAATAAGCCAAAAGCGGCTATTCCTGTCTCTCTTGTCTTTGTCGGTAATACAATTCTGCCTATATCATGTGCCGCTGTGCGGCTGCTGTTTGGGCTGCAGAGAGCCCATAAGGCACAACGGAACGAGTGAGTTCCGTAAGAACGATCGGTGAGCGCCCTCCACCACTGTATATTCCCGATCGAAAACCGACAGGGCAACGGGCTCGTGGCTCATCGGTTAGAGGCGTGGACTTCTAACTAACAGGTCGCGAGTTCGAGCCTCGGGTGGTCCCTACTTCGGGGTTGGGTATGACTGGCTGACGACAGCTAATAAACCAAAAGCGGCTGTTCCGGTCTCTCTTGTCTTTGTCGGTAATACCATTCTGCCTATATCATGCGCCGCTCTGCGGCTGCTGGTTAGGCTCGAAAGAGAGTCCGTAAGGCACAGTGAGACGAGTGAGCTCCGTAAAAGCGAACAATGAGCGCCCCTCTACCAACTTCATCATCCGCTGCACGCGGGCACGCCCATAGCCAACAAGCGGAGGAGAGGCATCATCAATTGGGCACTTGCTACCGTATGTGTCTAAAACAACAAATCGCACTGCGTAGGCATCGTCCGGCAGGCACTTTGCCCACCATTCCCATGCACATAAAGGACCGTCTCGACGCAAATGAGCGATAGAGTGTAGAATACCAAATTTCCTGCCAGGACTGTCTTTGGCATTATAAAGGCCAAGCAGGACGACACCTTGGCGGGCCTTTCGGAGTGGATACCTACTGTCTCAAGTTGCCACCCACATGCTGGAAGGAGGTCACGAGTTCGATTTTGCGTGCACGCGGATGCCAGCGCGCGCGTGCAACAAGATGGGGCGAAAACTGTTAAGGCGTAGGTGTCAGACAACAGCTCTATCAATAGAGACGTTAATTTACCTCCGTGTTATACCATGTGCTACGCCCACTTCCACGCCGGAAAAGCCTCCCGTCACCACGCCGTGAGACCACTTTGAACAAGACACAGCCACGGACACTACCCCCCTTCCCTCACTCCTCCCCGGCCCGATGTTCACCTACACAAATGTCCACTCGTTGTGCATTCATGCCTCCTGTGCGAGCTCGAAAATTCAGATTAATAAACTTACCATTCCAGCTGCCGCTCCTTCGTCATATTCTAAATAAGATCTTTTTATACCGCTGCAGCTTCCAGATAGCACAAAATATCCTCCTTGCTATAATTTCATAATCACGAATTTCAGTAACGGCACAACACCATAGTTTATGGGGTTTGTTTTTCACGAGAGCTGGATGAGTTACTCTTACCAAGGCAGGGCCGCGCGCGTCATCTCTCCTGTGTCGCGGAGTTGTTAATATACCTAGATTTCTGCCAAGGTTCTTAATTTCAATTCGAAAATACTACAATTTTCCGATTTTCGAGCACAGGCTTTTGCCTCTTTCTTCAAGTCTATCTCTTTAATTTCCGACTCCTTTCGGCCGGCTTGTTATCAGGGTTAAAGCGTCTAGCTTGTGCGCATTTTTTGAGAATCAGCGTGCGTTCTGGCTACAGCTAACAGACCGCTTTTCAACCTGCAACGAAATACAGTTTTTTTGACCCCACCATAAGTTTCTTTCAAACTGCTTTCATCCCGCCCACCATCTATAGAAGCTGCGTTGTGTTCTTGAACACTACCAGAGCATTCGTCTCATTGAATGGGAAGGACGATGACTGACTGTTCCTCCAGAGTGAAGTAATTTCTTTCCCTCGCGTGACACTGGCGGAGATGATGAGGATATCTAGTCCCTCAAGCGGGTGCTAGGCTTTTGTCCTGACATGTACGATGTGCTAGTCATCACATGGTCTCGCCTTTTGAGCGTATTTAGCACTCGCGCATTCAGTTCAGAGGGCAGTCATGCGCAAGTGTTCACGAATCCTTCAGTTGTCTCCACGCAGCTCGACAGCTCGACCGTCGTCGAAGGTCTCTACGTAAACATCAGACTGAAAATATACAAATTGGCCATTTTGACGGTTTTGTTGGATGGCACGGAAACCCCAACAGTCAACGAGGAATAAGCGCGGAAACTCAATCACTTCCACCTCAGTTGTCTCCGCCGGATACTAAGACTGGGGTGACAAGACGGGATTCCGGAAACAGAAGTTTTGGAACGGGCTGGCCTCCTCGGTATCCATGTCATGTTGAGGCAACTGCAACTTCGATGGAGCGGTCATCTCGTAAGGACCGCCTGCCAAAACAGCTCTTCTCTGGAGACGTCGCCATGGGTGCTCGCCGACAAGGAGATCGAACCTACTGCTACAAGGACACCTTAAAGAATCCTTTGAAGCGGCCAAAAATCAACCTGAAGACTTGGGGAGACTTTACACAGGATCACTTGGTCTGGAGAATGGCAGTGAAGACGTGAGCAGCCATCTTCCAAACAGATCGCAGTTGCCAAAGCCAAAAGAGGAACCCGCAAGTCTCAGGCGCCCCTGACTCCCAACGTCAACTCTCCACTCTTCCCAACGTGGTAACGAACAGTCCATGCGCGGATCGGCCTTGGCGCACATATCCGGGGTCGGACGACCCAACCACTGTCTCTCTTGCTCTTTCTGGCCCAACCCTCACCGCGGCCACTACGATAACCACAACCGACAATCGCAAATGAGGACGATGGAGGTAAAAGGAGTGCAGTATTTTCCGTGATGCATTGTCACGCAACCACGTGTCTGCTATCACTAACAGCCTCCGCATTCGTTGTGGTGGGAGGGGCTGCGTTTTATGCGATGGTTGTGTGTTAGTCCGCATCCGAGTCGTTAATTGCCGAAATTGTGCGACCGCTGTGGATTCTTGGCTTGATAAATGCTCCAGAATTTGGCTCACAGTCACGGGCCGACAAACACTTCCTTGTTAGCTCAGCAGACGAGGGAAATTTCACTGTTGTATATGGACAGTGCAGACTTCCCTCAGAATGCTAAATGCTCTGGGAAGAATCGGAATTTCTCTGTCCCATGTCAAACGAGGACGCAAAAACGCCGACATTTGAAACCAATACGACGTTTTCGCCAATGAACAACTCAGGTGCAATGTCATCAATCGAGCGACGCGTGGCGAGGGTTCAGGCAACGGCCTTGGTCCGATTCTATTGTCTACTAAAAGCGCACAGATAGGGCGTTCCTTCCCGATTCATTCTAACTTACGGACTGACAATGTGGCTGTTTCAGTATCCTGCATTCATGGCCACTGATCGAGATACCACAGTCAGTTCGTCAAAACAACCCTTGGAAAACATAAGAGGGTAAGTCGCCTGCCAAACTGCATCGAGATATCTTTGGTGTCACGTCCCTTCTAACTTCTCATTACACGGAATCTGGCGGTCGAGATCATTTCATTGCTCTTACATTACAGATACGATCAGACGGGTAATCCCCTCACGCACGCCTAGATCCTCCAAATCCTGAAATCCTCTCTCAAGACGTACCCAACCTTCGACGGAACAATCTACGAGTAGGTGGGAGGCACGTCAGTGGGTCCGCCGATTTCGGGACTCATAGTTGAGGCGGTTCTACAACGGTCGAGTTCGCTGGTCTACCGGCATCACAGATCGAAATTCTGACGCCTTTGTCGTCATCAAACAAAAGTAGATGTTGACATTTCAACAACGTCTAAATAAGGTCTTCCTGAACGTACTATTTACGATGGAAGAGGAAGAGGACAACCAGCTAACATACCTTGATGTGCCGGTCTACGGCAGAGATTGTGATGGCCTAGAAATCAAAATGTTCCGAAAAGCGCCAGAAACAACACAAGTCCTGCGCTTCAGTAGTAACTACTCAAGCAATCAAAAGAGCGGTTGTGTAAGGGCATTATATTGGTGTGTTGTGAAACGTTACAGTGGACTAGAAGAGGTCGCTGAATTAAGGCATCTTTTACGGGTGCTTTGGGGAGAATGGCAACCCGCGCAACTTCGTCAACCACTGCATAATCAAACGGGACGAGAGACCTAATACAATCTTCTTTTAATTTTTGGCGAGCGCTCCTATACATCAATAACGTTTCAGAATTCATCAGCCGCCTGCTCAAGCCATTTGGAGTTGGAGTTGCACGCAGACCAGAAGCAACTATCATGTGTCAAGTCATGAGGTCTAAAAAGTTAGAGCCGCTGCAGGAAACGTCTAGAGTCTTTCAATCATTCAGTTGCGGAAAAACCAACCGCGTCGGAGAAATTAAGGAATTACTCCGAATGCAAGTGGCCGAACATTTGCCAGCTTTGGGTATGAAGGATGTTATTTTCCGACCTCTTGTTGTTTGTATCATCAGTATCGTGGTTACCAGTTAATCATCATACGTTACGACTTCCCACAATAATATTCTGTGCCGCGACATTGCCTGGTAAATATAATTAGTCATTTGGGATGGCGCAGGTGGCCGAACTTTCCAGAGGTCTCTTATGGGCTGGCCGGTTATGTCTCTGTCATGATGGCGGTGAACTGCCTCTACGGCTATATTATCTGAGCCAGCAGGCGATGAACCTAAAATCAGACGTGAACTGACTGTACTGAGTACCATATCTGAAAAAAATGCCCTTGCAATGTAATAATGCGAAGAAAAAAATACAAGTTATTTCTATTTTTATATGTTGATACCAGTAATACACAACTGTTATTAGGCATAATCAGCCGATCGATTTATTTTAGGAAATTAACTGATGACGATCGATGTGGGATTTAATTAATTATAGGGTCAGCAAGAATATACAAACGGCTGTTTAGTTAAAGAGTTCAGTAGGAACTGTCGCAGCCGTTAATCGTTGTCAGAGAGTTCAAAATGTGCGAATTGACAAGTGTCGCACACTCACGTAGAGCGAGGACAGAGCGAGAGTGAAACAGAGACAGCGCAGTCGAGAAGGAGGGGCTAAAGAGTATCATGCACATTTTCGCACAGAAATCTAATAACGAGTCCATTATCGAAAAACTGCTTTCAGACTCCAGTCAACATACTGTTCAAAGCTAATTTTGTGCATACCAAGGGCATCCAACAAGCACCCGCAAAAGCCGTGTTAAGAGCCAGAATAATTATGAGTTTAATACTGAGAAAGCAAACGCATCATACCTTAATAAATTATCTGATATGCTGAGTCACCCAGGAAGCACCGAGCCGTACTACCTTTGGAATAGTGCATTCAACTTTCTGTGTAATAGCAGGTATTAATAATTTGTCATTCATCTGCCTTAGGACCAACGACATCGACTACATGCATATGACACGAAACATTTTTCATCCCAGTTCAGTCAAGCGAACACATACTGTTCAATCGAAATTAACTCACTTGCGAAAGAAAATACAAGAAGTCCTAGGATTTAATTACTGTAACCTGTCCTTAGCCTATGCAACAATTTCTCTTAACAGATCTGTTTGTACGAGCGAACCTGTCCGCTCGACGGTACTTTTTATCATCCAATACCTTTATTTCCTCTTTCAGTACCAAGTTCTAAGCCCACAACCGACGTTAACAACCAACACGGCCTCAATAGCAATCAATTCGTCTAATTTTTCACCTCGTTTTCGCAACCAGCTGCGTCCCCCCACCCTCCCCCCCTTGTAATCTTGTTGGGACTTAACCTCCTCCTATCCGTTTTTCTCCCACTTCTGTACCTCTTTGTCACCTCGATTGTTATTATATTAGTATCCTATTCGGAATGTATACTTTTATTGTTCGATGTGTGACGTCTGCGTGCCGATCATTGAGACACTTATTACTCAGTTTCCGTAGGTTGTCACATATTTAATGGCGACGTTTCTCGATTTTTTTCCATTTTTTCTCTCCCACCGCCCCTTTTTTCGACTTCATATTTTCCGTTCGGTACCCCATTAAACCCGCATTTTTTATATGTCCGTACCGACTAGACCGCGCTTCCACGATGCCTAACACTCGATCAACCTCCGATGCCCATTCCCTTAACATCGCCCAACTAACCGCCGCATTAGGCAATCTGCTCACACGTACATTCCCGGTGGCCCTGGATTCCCTTAGACAGCTTCTTGAACTGACGAGTGCAGGCCGAGCGCTACTTAGTACACTTACCGGCCGACCAACGAATGGACCATATTACGGGCCTCTTAGGTCTAACGGCTAAACGTTGGTTCAATTATCTGTGAGCACCACCTTCTACAACCCTCAGCAACCTATGGACGACCCTGGAAAGCCTTTTTGGTGCCCAGGAACCCCTGATCGCCCTCCATCATCACTTTTGCCTCCGCAGAAAACAGCTCGGGGAAAATGTGGACTCCTACCTAGACGCCCTCTTAAGACACGGCAGCAGGGTCTTCCCAGTCTCCCACGTCTCCGAACAGGTCTTCTTACGTTTCGTGGGCGGTCTCTGCTCAGAAGACATAAAACGGGATTTTCGCATCCGACCCCCTACAGACTTCCTCACAGTCCTACAAACGACAATGATATTTGAGTCTGCCCCACCACAACAAGAACCTCGCCGTGCTCCCAATATTCCCCAGGGGCAACGCACAGTATCCCTCCCTTGCGGTCAACAATCTGAATGACTGCTGGTACTGTCAGCAGTTCAATTATCATGCTCGCAAGTGCGCTCACAACAAATCCCCTGGTAAGACACCTCTTACTTTCTTGCCCTCTATTTCCTCCTCACTACCCACAGATCTCCCGCTGACGGTCACTGGCACAATTTATGAAACACCTGCAACCATACTCATTGACATTGGTGCCATTCGGTCTGTTCTGCCGTCTCCCCATATCCTCATTACGCACTCCCCTCCCTCAGACATTCAGTTAGTCACGGCTGATGGTTCACCCCTGCGTTGCACTGGCACACAGCAAGTATCCATTGTCCTCCCCAACTGCACTGCCGTACATCCCATACTAGTTTCCCCGGACATAGCAGTTGACGCCATTGTCGGGTTCGACTTTCTCCGAGCTCACCAGCTTATCATCGACCCCAACAACTTTGCCGTAGTTCTGCGTTCCAGATCAGCTATCTCCAACATCTTCGTGGATGTCAGCACGCTAGACACTACTCCACCTAACTAGCCGACGTCGATTGACCATCTGTTGACCCATCAAGAAATCCCCGTCATCTACTGCCGTCGCCCAAAGGACACCCTACTCCCATTCCAGAGAGTGTTCACCTGGACTGGACAACCGATCGGAAGCACTGGATTCGCTCAGCATTAAATAAACATCGGTACCTCCGCACCACAATGGCAACCAGCTCGCCAAATGCCCATACATTACCAAATGGAGCTCAACAGAATAATTACAGATCTCCTTGCGCAGGGAATCACTGAACCCTCCAAGTCCCCATGGGCAGCCCAGGTTACGTTTGATAAGAAAAGGGACGGTCATTTAAGGCTATGTATCGATTATCGCCAGTTGAACAAAGTCACCGTGAGTGACTCATTTCCGATCCCGCGCATCGATGACACTATCGACGAATTAGCCGGCGTGTCTTGGTTCGCCAGTCTCGATCTCTCTCATAGTTACTTGAAAATAGAGGTCCGACCGTAGGACCGTCAAAAGACGGCGTTCATCCTCCCCACGGGGCTCTACCAGTTTAACACTCTACCCATGGGTGTCGAGAATGCCACAGCCACTTGCCAAAGGTTGATGCAGCTCGTCCTTCTAAACCTATTACCCCAGTCCTGCCTCGTCTACTCGGACGAAATTATTATCCACGGCAAGTCGGTCAATCATTTACTAGAAAACTTGTGCCTAGTACTTCAGAAGTTGCAGACAGCAGGGCTTACGACTAACCCCAAAAATTGTCATTTCCTGCAACGATAAGTGACCTATTTTGAAAACGTAGTAAACGAAATTGGCATCACCCCGGATCCGGAGAAAATTCGGCAGATACTCGACTGGCCGACACGACAATCACAAACGGATATACGGTCCTTCTTGTTATTGGCTTCCAATTACCGTCGTTTCATTTACGGTTTTGCGAATATCGCCCTTTCCCTACATCGCTTAACGGAAAAGGGCGGTTCTTCTGTGTGGACGGCAGAATGCACACAAACCTTCTTAACCCTTAAAAACGCTCTATCCTCTGCCCCCATCCTTGCGCTCCCAGATGGTGACGTTCAAGGACCACATTTCATCCTGGATACTGACGCCAGCGGATTTGCTATTGGGACAATCTTCAGCCAGGTCGATGCGATGGATATGAGCACGTTATAGCGTATGCCAGTCAATGTTTGGACAAGGTGCAACGCCGTTACAGTGCCACACGGCGGGAAATGCTAGCCCTCATCACTTTTGTCAAGAAATTCCGGCACCTGCTACACGCTTAACACTTTATCGTCCGCACCGACCACCAAGATCTCAAAGAACTCCGAAATTTTTATGATACAGAAGGCCAAGTCGCCAGATGACGGGAGATACTTAAAGAATCCAACTTTGATGTTCAGTATCGCCTTGGAAAACGTTGCAATAACGCCAACACCTTCTCCCATAACCACTCCTCCGATGAGGCCAAAGAATGACGCTGTTCCTGTGTCACCCATTCACATATTACAGGCAGTCCAGGAGCAATGGACTCAAATGCAAGCGTCCGATCCCAATGTATCCTTTATTTATGACAGACAGTTACATGGATCTCCTAAATTCACCGTCCGCGAAATGAAGAGCCTAAGTTGGGAAACACATTGTCTCTGGTCTATGTGGACCTTCCTCCGCCTAGTCGACAACATCTTGTACTTCTAACATCACTCCTCTCTCCCCAAATGTCTAGTGGTCCCTCGCACTCTTAGGCCCTAAGCCATCCGTGATACCCATGAAGAACTGGCACATTGCGGTCAAGCCAAGACCCTCGCCGCAGTACGTCAATGATATTGGAAGCCCGATCAGAGACGCGACGTAGATTCTGTCTGTCAGACGTGTCGAACTTGGGCTCAAATCAAGGACCCCGTAGTCCGTCCCCGGACGCCACTGGAGCCAAAGTCGACAGGCGTCCCAAACCATCGCATCGGCCTAGATATCATCGGAATTTTAATTCAGACTAAGAAAGGCAACAGATTCATTTTGGTTATCGCAGAAAATTTCTCAAAATGGTGCAAAGACATCACACGTCCAAACTCGGAAAGACTAACTGTAGCAGCGGCTATAGTCGATCACTGAATCGCACGATAAGGGTCACCCAACATCATCAAAAAGGGTCAAGGAACCGCTTTCGAAAATCAACTATTCCGTGATATACGCCACATTCTCGGCGTACTGAGAACGCGCTCCTCACAAAACTACTAAGATGGAAACGGTCAGACGGGAGGAACGAATATAACGAACTAAACACATTGAAATTCTGTGACCAACGATTTCTTTAATTTACCTTCGAGGCATGCACGGAGCAAACTAGATAGGAAAGAACAAGTCTCGCTGAAATACCAAATGATTTTGAACTTACTCCTCAGACAGCCAAAAGTTCACCCAACCATACTACCTTTAGGAATAGTGCATTCAGCTTTCTGTGTAATAGCGGGTATGAATAATTTGTCATTCATCTGCCGTGGGATCAACGACATCGACCACATGCATATAACGCGAAAAGTGTTTTATCCCAATTCTGTCAAACGAACACATATTGTTAAATGGAAATTAACTCACTTGCGAAAGAAAATACAAGAAGTCCTAGGATTTAAATACTGAAACCTGTCTTGAACCTATGCAACGATTTCTTTTAACAGATCTGTTAGTACAAAACGCAAGTCGCAGTTGGGCGGCTTATTTGGTAGCGATGACGGTCCCACGACGCTGCAGTCGGCGTGCCTGTCCGGTGCCGGTGTCAACG